CCCCAAAACCCCAAAACCCCACAGCACTAAAATAAAAATGATATATAAATTGTTTATAATAAAATCTTCTAATTAGTATCTTATCATTTATCAAATCTATTCTTGGTTGCTTTCTTAGTCCCAGCTATCATGCTTGCATTAGCTTTCGGTCTTCTAACCATAGCTTCTTTTATCATTTATTCCTTCTTTTATTTGGAAGAAGGTGCATTATTCAAGCTATTAGCTGCTGTGTACTTGAAAATTTTGACCTATGATTTCTTTTATGAAGATTAATCTCTTAGTTAATGAGATTAGTTAGTAGATGGTATTCTATGTTATGTGTAATTCTTGTAAGAAGAACCACCATCTAATGATAACTTAGACTGTGAATGCTAAGATGGATCAAATTCATCTTGATAGTAATTCTTAAACTTCTGCTGTTAGTTTAATGTAAATCCATACTTATCAGCAGCTGAGTTTTCACTTAGTTCTTAGCTTCCTGTATTCTTAGGTCTTTTAGAATACTTTGATGGCTTTCCAGTAGAGTAATTTTGTCTTATAGGCTAATTCACACTGTTATTATGGTAGTTTTAATAAGTAAAGTTCGAACCCTGAGGTTTTTCTCTGCTATGTTCTCTTGGGTCTTCAGTTGAATATATTTTCTATGCATCCTCTCTAGATTTCTTCCTCATTCTATTGAATTCCTGTTGAATTCGCCTACTGTCGAATGATTCCTAATCAAATACATCCTTTTGCTAAGTGAACTTAATATGTCTCTCTCTATCATATCTTCTTGACCTGTTATTTGCTCTTTCAGTTGACAAACTCTTAAAATCCAAATCTTAAGCATCTAAAGTAGAACCTAATATTCTTTAAGAGCCTGCACCAGCGCCTCCACTTAGTATCAAAGTTGACTTGACTGATTAACTTCTGACAATTACTCCATTTTATGATTTAGCCTCACTTGAATCTCGCGATCTAAGTGGAATATATTTTTTCTTAGATTAGCTCTTTCGATGGTTTTCATTAGAAGTATTATGACATTATCTAATCTATGACGAGTTATTATCTCTCGCTTTAGATGTTTCTTTTTTTGCAGAGTTTTAGCTTCTCCCTGGTTGATGTTTCCCATTAGATTTAGAAATACTTGATCTGTCAGCATCTCTAGTAATGTCCATTAGCATCTATGAATTATCTCTTTGCTGTCTGTAACTTGTTTTTTAGAGCTAATTAATAGATCTCTTTTCTATCTCGTTTATTTTAATTTCTACAGTGTCAACCCATGTGTTTAGTCTTTGCTAGATCAGATTGTATCTTTATTTATCCTTTTCTAGATTATTAGCGTCAATCATGTTTAACCTATTTCTCAAATCGTCTATTTCCTTTTTCATAAATTCTCCTTACTCTTTCATTTGTCTTTCCAGTGATTTCTTAATGTCATCCATGAATTGAATCTTGTATTGATCATTGATCTAATCTTGAATAAGGTTGAGTCTTTCTTCAAGAATAGATATCTTGCTGTTTTCTCTCTATCAAAATATGTTAATCATTTTATTTACATATGGAGCAATTCCTTGACTCACGCTCTAATTTAGCTGTGAATCGTTTAAATTTTGATTGGCTGCAGGTCTAAATCCTAATCTATGGAAATAATAGTTGCTACTGAATAATTTACTTTTAATTAGACATGTCCATTACAATTTGCAATACATCTCTTTCAATCTTGTCAACTCTCTTATCCTATTCCTTCAATTCGTCTCTGTTTTTATTGAGTGATTATTCAAAGACATCAGCTTGTTTTTGCATTAACTTTATCAATTAAGTGATATTTGTAATTTAATCTTGGAGATGCTGTGGCTATGAGATGCTTGCCATATTTTGGCCTAAGTAGTCAATATTGCTGTTTCCTAGAGGTACATGCTCATATTGGTTTGCCTATTTGGATAAATTAGTCTTAAACATACATTATTAGTGAATGGGAGTAACTTGAAGCCGTTGTTGTCAGTTAAATTTTAGAATTTTGATAAATTTTAGCTAGACAAAAAATATTGTTGGGGCTATTATTGTTAGTGCGTCTGATAGTTATTATGGCTTGGTTCAATTTAATCAAAGTTTAATGAGTGAATATCAGTCTCCGCAGGCGAAAAAATTACTCGGTTCTTATTTGCACTCTGCTATCGCAGCTAATACAAGTTTTTAATCACTACTTTAGATTAAGTCTACTAATCATTATCGAAGAATTCGTTTTCTTTATTGTACATTTTTGTTTATAATATTAATTTATTTGAAATTATTCAATTTAAAATGTAACAACTCTTAATGAAATACTCAGTTAATTTTGCTAATTGAAATGCAAAGTGGGGTTTTGGGGTTTTGGGGTTTTGGGGAGATCGGAAGAGCACACG